TTGGTCTATATCTCTGTTTTGGTACCAGTACCATGCTGTTTTGGTTAAATTGTCTGGAATTTTTTTAAGATGCCAGTTGATGATCTATTTTTCCCCATGTGAATAACCATTTTTCCAAGACTCTTCCTTACTGGTTTGCTACTTCTATCATGTATGAAGTGTCCACATTTAATAAGGTTAATTTCTTAATTAATTTCTTTTTATTTTATTTTATGAGATGAAATCTCACCCTGTTGCCCAGGCTGGAGTGCAATGGTGCGATCTTGGTTGACTGCAACCTCTGCCTCCAGGGTTCAAGCGATTCTCCTACCTCAGCTCTCAGATAGCTGGGATTACAGGCATATGCTGTCATTCCTAGCTAATTCTTTTTGTATTTTTATCTTTTTTTAGTAGAGACAGGGTTTCACCATGTTGGCCAGGGTGGTCTCAAACCACTGACCTCAAGTCATCCACCTGCCTCGGCCTCCCAAAGTGCTGGAGTTTCAGGCATGCGCCACCACACCCAGCGATTTCTTCTATATTTTGTTCTTTTGGTTTATTTATCTGAATGACAGGACAGAATAGAAAATCGAGAAATAAAGCCACGTATCTACAACCATCTGATCTTCAACAAAACTGACAAAAATAAGCAGTGGGAGGAGATAACTGTAAACTATGCATCTGACAAAGGTCCAGTATCCAAAATCTATAAGCAACTTAAAGAATTCAACAAGCTAACAAACAAACAAATAAATAAATAAATAACTCCATTAAAAAGTGGGCAACGGAGATGAACAGACACTTCTCAAAAGAAGACATGTAAGAGGCTAATAAACATATGAAAAAATGCTCATATCACTAATTATCAGAGAAAGGAAATCAAAACCACAATGAATTGGTTTCACATTAATTAGAATGGCTGCTACTGCTACTAAAAAGCAAAATAAAAACATATGCTGGTGATGCTGTAGAGAAAAGGGTATACTTATACACTGTTGGAGAGAATGTAAATTAGTTCAGTCACTGTGGAAAGCAGTTTGGAGATGTCTCAAAGAACTAAAAATAGAACTACCATTTGCCCCAGCAATCTTATTACAGGGTATGTACCCAAAGAAAAATTAATCATTATTCCAAAAAGGTATCTACATTCATATGTTCACTGCAGCACGATTCATAGTAGCAAAGACACGAAATCAACCTAGGTGCCCATTACCAGTGGATTGGATCAAGAAAATGTCACAAATATACACCATAAAATACTATGCATCCATAAAAAAGAATGAAATCAAGTCCTTTGTAGCAACATGGATGCAGTTGGAGGCTACTATCTTATACAAATTAGCACTGAAATGGAAAACCAAATATCACAAGTTCTCACTTATAAGTAACAGGTAAATCTTAAGTACACATGGGCAGAAAGTTGGTAACAACAGACATTAGGGACTCCAGAAGGAGGGAGGAAGAGAAGGGAGCAAGGGTTGAAAAAATTCCTATTGTGTACTATGTTCACTATCTGGATAATGGAATAAATAGAAGCCCAAACCTCAGCATCACACAATATAACCATGTAACAAACCTGTATATGTACCCTGTAGGTCTAGAATAAAAACTTAATTTAAAATAATGCATTAGAGGGTTCTTAACAGTAGAACAGATCCATCAGAACAAACAGTGAGCTCAAAGACAGGCTATTTGAAAGTACTCAGTGGTACAGTTTGAATATTTGTCACCTTCATAACTCATGTTGAAATTTGATGTCTGATGGAGATGGGGCCTAATAAGAAGCATTTATATCTTGTAGGGGATCCTTTATGAATAGATTAATGCCTTCCCTATTACAGTTCCTTCAAGAGTTGGTTATTTAAAAAAGCCTGGCATCTTGCCCATCTCTCTCTTGTTTCCTGTCTTACCATGTTATATCTACACATGGCAGCTCCCTTTCACTTTCTGCCATGCGTGGAAGCAGCCAGAGGCCCTCACCAGGTGCCAAATCTTGAACTTTTCAGTCATCAGAATTATGAACCAAATAAACCTCTTTTCTTTATAATTTACTCAGCCTCAGATATTTCTTTACAGCAACACAAAACAGACTAAGACACACAGTGAGAGTAGAGTAACAGACAAGAATGAAATTGAAGGATGCTCATGACATCTGTGGAATAGCATCAAAAGAGCATATATAAAAGTCACTAGCCTTTGAGAGAGAGAGAAAGAAAAAGGGGTAGAATGCTTATATCAAGAAATAATAACAGAAAACTTTACAAATGTAGAGAATGATATAAATATCCAGATACAGAAAGATCAAAGATCACCAAGCAGATTTAACTCAAATAAGACTACTCCAAGGCATATAATAAACTCTGAAAGATCAAGGACAGGAGAGGATCCTAAAAGCAGAAAGAGAAAGAAGCAAATAACACTTAAAGGGGTCCTGATACATCTGGCAGCAGACTTTTCATTTGAAACCTTAGAGGTCAGAGATAGTGGGATCATATATTTGAAGTCTTGACAGAAAAAAACTGCCAACTGAGAATACTTTAGCCAGAAAACCCATTCTTCTAACATGAAGGAGAGTTAGAAAACTTTCTCAGACATGCAACAGCTGAGGGGATTCATCACCATAAGACCTGTCTTACAAGAAATGCTAAAAGGAGCTCTTCAATCTGAAGGAAAATTATGATAACATGTAACAAGAGAAACTTGAAAGTGTAAAGCTCACTGATAAAAGCAGGTATACCAAAATTCACATTACCTAATACTGTAATTGTGGTGTGTAAAATATTCATGTCTTTAATATGAAGACTAAAAGAGAAAAATGCCAAAAACAATAACTAAAACAATTTATTGTGAGATAGACAGTATAAAAAGATGTAAATGGAGATATCCACAAGTTGAAAGGTGGGGAAGATGGAATTATAATATGGAGATTTTTAGTTTAGTTTGTTTCTTTTCATTGTAAGAAAAGAAGAAAGGAAAAGAGGAGTTACAAAAACAACCAGAAAATAAGTAACAAAATGGCAGTAGCAAGTTCTTACACATCAATAATAACCCTGAATGTAAATGAACTAAATTCTCCAATTAAAAGACAGAGGGGCTAAATAGATTAAATAAAAC